ATAGTATAAATAAAATTAGGAATTATTTTATGATAATATTGAATCTACTCTGCGTCAATATAATATCAAAAATAATTATAAATAATTTTTTCCATCCACTTATTCTGAGGATCTTAGATTAATGGAAATTTTCAATTAATTTAAATTGGTATGCCTCTTTACTTAATATTTAATGTCAGATTCAAATGTAGACATTTAAAATATGATAAAGATATTATAAAGAGATCCAAAAAGGTATTGATCCATATTATTCCAGTAATCTAACAAATCCTTAGGATTCAAATTATCTGATAAATTCTCTTAATCAATATATATAAAATGCACTTGAGATTGCATCAAAGAATGGTAATGTAAAAGTCATTAAATTTTTATTGTCACTAGAATGTAATAATCATATTAGAAGTCGTATTTTTGAGAATCTAACTGAAAGCCCATTAGAAGTTTCATCAAGATTGGCTTCATTTGGAAAGTGTATTATTAGATACAGATAAATATAGTAATACAGTGAAGGTAATTTAAAATTAAGAAATAATTAATTTGTTGAAATGAAATATGACTTCATTATTTTCCATCAGAAAGTGAATATCTGAATATGAAAGGATAATAATCTTAAGCTCTACATTCTCAGAAGTATAATACCCCTGTATTATTAGTATTAGCTAAACACCTTCACTACCATAACTTCATTTAAGTTCGATTCATCTCAAACCCTTAATTTGCAAGAATAAATCTTGTTATACAGATGAGTAATCTTTTAGTTATCAGTTCTAATATATATAGTATACATGAAAAATATTAATTTGCTAAATTTCGTGATGAAGTTAATACTACTAAACTTAATAAATGAATCAAAGATATTTTAAATAATTTAAATTATACTAAAATAATCAATTTTAGATTGAATAAGAAATAAATTAGTAATTCTTAATAATAATAATTTCATAAATGTTTAAAATGCTTTAATATTATTACAAAATAAATGATGAAATTAAAGCGTAATCATTTTTATCAAAAATTGTTTCTGTGCGCATGTTATTTCTTTTAAAATTAGATTAATATTTGATTTTTATGTAAATAGAAAATTAATTAATAAGATATGCTTTAATTAGTAAAACATAGAATATAATTATATAAGAAATTAATAAATGTGAACTAAATAATTGCGCTTTCATTATAATGTCTAAATAGGCAAATCAATAAGGTTTTTAATCTTATTGTCAGTCTTGTTTATAATTTAGATAATGTTATAAACAAGAATAAAATATTGTATGATCCAGTTTTTCTATAAATAAATATGATATTTAATCTAAAAATAAAAAATTCTAAATTCATAAACAACAAAAGTATTCATTTTATTAAAATAAATATTTAGATTTTATAAACACAATTCAATTTTGTTTTAGTATTTCTTATAATATTTAGTCATTCAATTTTATTTATTACTATTCAAGAATTTCCATATCTATATTCTCTTATACAACCTCTTTTTATACATAATCAGGAGGATATGTCAAAAATGGAATTTCTCCTATTTTCTCTTCTTTATAGATACTTTCTTCAAAAATTCATGTTCCTCCCTCTAATCATCAATATGATGAATTCTCTTTAAATCAGATATCTTTACTTTTTATAATAATGCTGGAATATAATATTCAGGATCTTCTAATTTCTCTGCTCTAGCGCATCCTTTTAATACAACTTCAACATCATCTTAAATATATACTTTTGTTAATACTACATATTGCCACAATCTAGTTTCCAAACCTTTCTCTTTTTAATGAATTAATAACAGAACTATTTCCAACTTTTGGATAACCAACAAAATCTATTGAAATATTTATTTATCTCTATTAAATTTATCAAACTACCTAACAAAATTTATAAATGGACTTTTACCACAAGCTTTATTAACATTTACATGATAAGCAACAGTAGGATATTCTTTTTTTTAAATATTGAACTCAGCTCGATGTTAACCAAGTTGGTATTAAAACACATTTATTTATAAACATTACTAAATGTTTATGTGGACAATTCTTTTTGATATTATTTTCTAAATGATATGATCTCTTGCATCTAGAATACAAACCAATACATCAGATGAATCAATCACTTTATATAATTCTTCCCATATTCTATTTGATTAATCAGCTGTCAATCTTTAATTTATATTTTCTTATTGTACAGCTTATACAGGATTTAATTTCTCATCTTTCTCAATAACATATGTCTACTCTTTTTATTCAGCATGATCTGAATATCCATCAATAGATTCTTAGATAAATATAATTCATTATTTTAGATAAATGATTTATACTAGAATAAAGGCTACTAAATACTGATACAGAGGCACATTTGGAAGAGAATAAGTGATATTTTATCAGATCCAAAAATTACTCAATTATTAAATTATTGATATGTTTAAATAGAAGTATAATTAAATTCATTTGTTGATGAAATTATTAAATAATTAATAGAAGCATCATGTAGGTGATAATTTTATAATTTGTTTA